GAGACACTGCCAGCCGCCACGATGACAAACAGCATGTGAAGATGCCGGTAAGCCACGAGCCACGTGGCAAGGTATAGATTTATAGAAATAGATTAATTTAAGCTGTAAGAACAGTTAACAAGAAGCCTGCCATGGCCATACAGTTTGTAAGCAATATAAGTCTCTGTGTTTACTTGGTCGGGTCTGAGCGGCTGTGGGACTGGCAGGTGAGGGACTGGCAGGTGAGAGAGATTTGTCCTGACTGTGGGCCAGGCAGGAAAACTCTAGCTACACATGCCCTTGAGGGCGATTTGCCCCTCCTCTCCCTCCTTGCTTCCCAGCTGCCATGCAGGGAGCAGCTCTGTTCTGCCACAGGTGTCCTGCAGTGGTGCTCTGTCTTACCACAGACCCAAAGCCCAACTATCGTGGAATGAGAGCTCTGAAGTCAGGAGATAAAACCACCCTTTCTCCCTCGTATTAATAAGCTGAGTAGCTGTGGTTTGTCACAGGCACGGAAAACTAACTGTCCCTTAAAGCTAAGTGTGAGTTTCGAAGCCTCTACCTTTTAATAAGGTCGAGGACAAGCTGGAGGACCACAAGCTGTCTACCTTGGAGCCCTCTCCTCTATAAAACACAAAAAGGCAGAATAAAATTGAGCCAGCTCTAAGAGTGATTAAACTACCACAGAGGATCTGAACTTTCAATTTTGAAAACATTTTACGGCTACACAAGTTTCCAAGAACAGCAGGGATGCTTACACAGTCCGCCAACTTCCCCTGATCCTGAAATCTCGTACACCATAGACTAAATATAATAATTCAGAAACTGACATGGTGCTATTGACTCGGGGATATACTTGAAACTAAGTTACTGCTATCTTTAGGAAAACGTCTATTCAAATGTTAGCAAGAACGGAAGAGAAGGAGCTAGCTCCCCTCCGTCACTCATAAGAGCTCTACACAACAGAATCAGACCTGGGGACATGAGGGGCAGAGTTACGGCACAGGAGTCTGTCCCACTGGCTTATCAGAAAAAGGGATAAGCCTCAGAGCCACAGTAAAGTAAATGAACTTAGAGGGTGACAGTGTCTATAGGGAAAGTCCTCTAAATTAGCCAGATGACATCCTTTGTCGTGGGTAGGGGGAGGGCGGGCACATGACGGGACAGGACAGGACTTGCAACAACTTAGATTTTACATGGTTTTGTTTTTCTAGACCCAGGCAGCACTGCATTCTTTTTTTTTTTTTTTTTTTTTTTTTTTTTTTTTTTTTTTTACTGGAACTGAGGATCAAACCCAGGGCCTTGTGCTTGCTAGGCAAGCGCTCTACCACTAAGCTAAATCCCCAACCCAGCACTTCATTCTTTAAACAGATGTTCTCACAGCCAAGCAGAGAAGGTGAGTTTCATAGGAAAAGAGCAGGAAGAGGCTTGGTCATTTTGAAATGATTTTCTTCATTAAAAAGGTAGGAAAAGAACGGAATGGATAATATTGGTCCTTCGGGTTACTTATGTGGAGATGGTGGTACTGTCGCATGGAAGAGCGGCGGGACTCCGGTCTTTGGCCCTTGAACCTGGCCTGTTTGGGGAATCTATTTCTTCTCTCTGGTTTCTCCAGGAAACATATTCAGAGAACAACTTAGTTTCAGTTCCATGACTGGTATTTTAACACAGATGACTGAGTTTTACATTCAGTTCAGTCTCCTGCGCCTCACCGTAGGAACTATATTCTGAACAACGGCCTTTCGATCTACTGCCTTTGATTGACGTCTCTAACCACGCCTCTTTTTGGCCGCAATGCATGCTACACGTGGACAGCACTTCGCCCCACTTGGCAGCTAGGAGCTTACCTTTCACCTGTGCTTCTAGAAATGTCAGTTCTCCAGTATTTTTCCTCATGGGGACCTAGCGGGAAATAAATGTGTCTCAACTCCAGTCCAGACAGGATGAGTTCTGCCCCAGATGCCAGTTTCAGCAACTCCGTCTTTTCCACAGAGTTCAGAAACCCCACGTCTCTTAGTCAGGGAGACTTCTGGAGACCTCTCAGAGAGAAACCCTCTGGGAGTGCCTTGATCATAAGTCGCCAGAGAAATGCTGTTCTAGATCAGAAAAACTATTCTGTCCATTCACGACGTGAGCTTGACCCTAGTTGGGTGCACAGAAGTCCGTGTTCTGGGTTAATTCTGGAGACAGCCTGTCATCTGGGTATTTAGTGCAGTCATTTCACTGGGTGCCTGGAAGTGGCGACGTCTGTGTAGAGCCCACTTCCTCTCACAGCTGTCTGTGGAAAGGTACAAGTAACACCTGCTCAGCACCCTTAACCTCTTCAAGCAGCTCCCAGCACCAGACTCCCCAGCAAAGGTACTGTGAATGGCAAGACCTGGGTCGCCGCCTCAGCTGCTTCTCTCTCAAGTGCCAGAAGCCGATTGTGTCTTCACAGCATGGAAAGCTACAGGCAAGGGCAGTAGAAGGCGGCTTTCTCCGGTCTGCCTAGCTAGATATATTTCCGCCTCTGTGCTGAGGGGTATACTAAACGGGCAAGCTCCTTGCAAGCCAAGTTTCCCACATCTGGCCACAGCTGCCTTTTAGAGGAAACTTCAGACCTGAGGTCTAATTGTACAACTTTTTATTTTTATTTTTTTGGTTTTTCGAGACAGGGTTTCTCTCTGTAGTTTTGTGCCTTTCCTGGAACTCACTCTGTAGTCCAGGCTGGCCTCGAACTCACAGAGATCCGCCTGACTCTGCCTCCCGAGTGCTGGGATTAAAGGCATGCGCCACCACCGCCCGGCTAATTGTACAACTTTTTAAAATCACAATTCACTGAGCCTTGAATTGCTTTTTTCCCCCCTTCTCTTCTCCCTCCTGCTCCTTGTTTAGGTAGTGTGAAACTGTGATGGGATTCAGGCAGAAATACATTGTAGGACAAGAGGAGCGTGAGATGAAGGTATTTCTTCTCACCAGGCTGAATCATCGCCTGGGTTGCTTGCCGCATCCTTCTAAAAGCTGCAGCTCTTCCCAGGCAGCCCTCTGCCTCAGCCCTTTAGGGCTTCAGGGACTGTTCGTCTGGTTTTGATTGTTTAAAGAAAAGGGGGTGGGAGTGTTCTTAACTCTGAGGAAGGCATCCTCATCTTCCTCATCTGAGATGTATATAACTCAGGAGTCAGCTCTGGGTCCTTGATTGAGGAAAGTTGAAGAATGGAATTCTCCAACCAAAGTTGAAGAGTATATACTATTGGCAGAAAGCTTTAAAGAATGAAGCTGAAAGATTTATGGCAGAAAGCAGAGTTGTGGAAAGTTCTGCTCACACAGACTTCGGGAGAGGTCCCCAAGAAAAGAAAAAAAAAATCCCTCAACTTATCTAGGGACTTCTTACAGGGCTCGTGGAAGAAAGTGGACCAACATTGAGGTAATTCCTACTAAGATGGGTTAATTCTCGGAGCATGGGGAGCTGAGCCGTTGGAAGGCACGTATTCTATGCACATTCTTCCTGACCCAACCAGGGAGTAGACAGGGTGTTCATGCACTGCTTGCCTAGGTAGGGGTGGTTGAAGTCCTTCCCTGTCCATCTCTGACTTCTGCACTAATGGCTCTTGGCCGTGTCTGTCTGCTGGTAGTTAATGCTGGCTGGTGTTGCTCCTCTTCGACCTTTCAAGGTCTTGTGAGTCTTAGACGTGGGTGGAATCTTCGAGCCATTTAACCTATGCTCTCTTGGTTTCTAGGTTATGCGATCAGCTCATAGCTTTACCGTGGGCCTTTTTCCTTTACTGTCTACAGAGAGTTAACAGTTATCATGGCCGCCAGCACATAGCTGTGGTTTTCCTTGGTTACTTCATCTGTAACTCATAGCCGAACAGTCTGGAATAGGTCATGTTTTTGTTGTTGTTGTTGTTTGCTTTTGTTTTTAAGAAGCCACCTTTAAAATTTAGTCGGCTACAATTAGCTGCATCATCAGCAAGAATATACCAGTGGGCAAAAATGCCCTTGCCTGTGCTGCTTGGGGAAGGAGTTTCAGGGGAAGCCAGTCTGGCTGCCAACACTGGCCCAGCTTAGCTGTCTCCTGCGCAGCGACAAGCCCTTTTATTTCTCTATTCCCAGCTTCCCAGCTTTAACTCTAACCTTTTAACCTTGGTCTCTGTTTCTACATGGCAGTTGTCCATGCTTTTGTCATAAGTCCATTTACAAAACCCTTTTTTTTTTTTTTTTTTTTTTTGGTTTTTCGAGACAGGGTTTCTCTGTGTAGCTTTGCACCTTTCCTGGAACTCACTTGGTAGCCCAGGCTGGCCTCGAACTCACAGAGATCCGCCTGGCTCTGCCTCCCGAGTGCTGGGATTAAAGGCGTGCGCCACCACCGCCCGGCACAAAACCCTTTTAAATAACCCTGTTTGCTTACACTTTCTTCTTGCCTGAACTCTGACTGACACTCAAACTGCCTCAAACTGACACTCAGCCGAGTTGGAAAACACGTGTTCCCTGCTTGGTATTAGCACAGTTTTAACGTGTTAGCCCACCGAATCATCCCAGGAAAACTCTTCAGTTAAGGACAATTAATTACGTATCTTGACGGAGGCAGGAGGATCAGGAGTTCTAAGCCATCCTCAGTAACATAGCAAGTTCAAGGTCACCCTGAGCCAGGTCAAACAGTATTTCAAAACAACCACCGCCATCATCATCACCGCCGCCACCACCACTACCTGGAAGGTAATTAAGGAGCAGACCCAGGAGGTCTGATTTCTATAGAAGTGGCTCCAGGTTCCGCAAAGTCTAGAGAAAGGCTGAGTGTAGAGAAGGTTTGGTAAGGGCATGAAGAAGAGTAAGAGCATATGGCCCTTTCTCATGGATCACTAGAATTACAGTTTCCTGGTATGCTTTGGCACAATCCAGGTTTTTGGAACGACATCTTTTTCAAGATTTCACGATTTCACCTCTCACCAGGGTGTAAAGCAAGATTAATCATTACTCATCTCCCACGCTGTAGTATATAACAAACCCTAGGGGGCATCGCACAGAGGCTGCCGCCAAAGAACCCGGAAGGGCTTAAAGCTGTAACAGCGAGTCCTGGGAGGCCTAGAGGCACCAGGGCAAAGCCAGCGCCTGAAACAATGCACGCATTTACTGCCCACAACCGGATGGCGCCTACACTGATCCTGGAGCCTGCGGATGGTTGCCTCTGCGACCAACCGGTGCTCATCGCCGCGCGCGGCCTGGCCCCCGAGCAGCCCGTCACGCTGCGCGCCGCCCTGCGCGACGAGAAAGGCGCGCTCTTCCGCGCCCACGCGCGCTACCGCGCCGACGCCCGCGGCCGGCTGGACCTGGCGCGCGCGCCCGCGCTGGGCGGCAGCTTCGCGGGGCTCGAGCCCATGGGGCTGCTCTGGGCCCTGGAGCCCGAACGGCCTTTCTGGCGCCTGCTCAAGCGCGACGTGCGGACGCCCTTCGTGGTGGAGCTGGAGGTGCTGGACGGCCACGAGCCCGACGGCGGCGGGCGGCTGCTGGCGCGGGCGGTGCACGAGCGTCACTTCATGGCTCCCGGGGTGCGGCGCGTGCCCGTGCGCGAGGGCCGTGTGCGCGCCACGCTCTTCCTGCCCCCAGGTGAGCGGCCCCCCTCCTGTGCTTGCAGCCCGGGATGCTTCGTGGGTGCGATGCCTGGGCCCTTCTTCCCTGGCTCCCACGCTCACCAGGGGTCCTTAGAGGTCAGGGGCCCCTGGAAAAGCCTTTCTGACTTGGGTTCATGGCTGGGGGAGTCCTGAACTGCAGGTCAACTCAGGAGCAACATCTGAAGTTGCTTAGGCAAGCAGAGGCATCAGGGCTCGCCCAAGCCCTCTGAATTAGAAATCTTCTCTGTGATAGTACGCCCCCCGGGTGCTTGTGCATGGGTTCACGTTTAGCATCCGCTGTTCTAGAACAGTCCTTCAGGCCACATGGGCCAGCGCAAGCACTGGGGAACTTTCTAACCCTGCAGGACTCTGAGCCCGGAGTGTGAAAGCGTAGGTGTGGAGGGCTGTGGAGTTTTGTTTCTTGGATGATTGTGAGGTAACTCTTTCCCAGGGGTCAAAGAGCCACAGCTCTGAGAGGGACTTAAGTTCAGTGACTCACAGAGAGGTGTTGAGGGGATTTGACCAATTGTTTCCCGTCCCTTTGAAATGCGGACAGAAATGGCAGTTTAGGGAAGGTCTGAGGATAAGGACATGGCTCTTCTTATAGAACAATTAAAACTGAGTTTTGCAAGTTCGAGTGTCGTGGAAGTGATGTTGAAACCTGAGAAAGTGGTTCTTTGGCTAAACACTTAAAAATGCTTTAATGTGTTTACTTGTTTACATATTTAAGTAGTAATAAAAGTATTCCAGAACTCAAGATTTTCCGTAATAAAAGGTCTCTCTTGGGTGGGAAGTTAATATTTTTGCGTGGGAAGTTTTTTGTGTTTTTTTTTTTTTGTTTTTGTTTTGTTTTAAGATTTAGCTATTTATTATAAGCGCCAGATCTCATTACAGATGGTTAAGAGCCACCATGTGGTTGCTGGGAGTTGAACTCAGGACCTCTGGAAGAACAGTCAGTGCTCTTAACCACTGAGCCATCTCTCCAACTCGTGGGAAGTTATTATTACCGGCCTCATGGGCAACTGTGTTTCCTTCAGTTTAAGTCTGAAGGCCTGACCCCCTCGCAACAAGAACGCTATTTTTAAAGTTCAGATTTCCCTGAAGACCTTAGGATGCTTCCTTCCTAAGTTCACCACCGTTGCCTGGTTTGTGAAATCCTTTTTCGCCCTTCTGTATACCTTCTACAGCCTGTAATCAGTTGGACCAGGTTGCCTGACAGTTCCTGGCGATAGCCCAAGATCTCTGTCATGTGGTATTCTGACCTTTTTTGGTTAACCCACATCTGTATTCAGTGAACACTGCAGCCACCGAGTCGAGCTCTGCTTTTTAAAACTTCCCCGAATGCCCTTTGTTGTGGCAGTTCCACAGCCAGGATACTCTCTTGCTCCAATCTCTGAGTGTGTTTTCGGCATCTAAGAAAAAAACTCAGGGTTGGGGATTTAGCTCAGTGATAGTGTGCTTGCCTAGCAAGCGCAAGGTCCTGGGTTCGGTCCTCAGCTCCAGATAAAAAAGAAAAGAAAAAAACAAAACAAAAAAAAAAAAAAAAACAACTCAGACACCCACCAGAGGATGTTCCTAGCTCCTCTAGAGTGTTCCTATCTACATCCAGCTTTTCAGACGACCTGAAACTGTCAAAAATGAGCTGAGTCTGTGTGACTCTGGGGGAGGATAGAACGGTGTGCAGGAGATATTGATGTGTGAAAGAAAAAAAGTTTTCAGGAATATGAATATGACTTTACTGTTCTAAGAGATCAACTGTTTGTATTTATAAACAATATAAATAACCTGGGTGTATAATTGGTATCCATAGTCCTAGCTCTTGGAGTTTACCGTATTTATCAGTACTGTAATATAAGGGAAGAAAAGCAACAACCTCAATGATCAGTAAAAAACAAAAAAAGCAAATTATGATCTATTCCTTAGTGTGTTTTCCAACATATAAACACAGCATACACCTCCAATTAGGAACAAAAATAATCACCTGGGGTCTTCAGAGTTAAAACTTTACTATACATGACTTAGTAAAGTGTTTGTCTAGGACCCAGAAGACCCTAGATTTAATCCCCAGTACCAAAAAGGATGTGGTGGCCCATGCCTGTAACCCCAGCAATGGGGAAGTAGAGGCCGTAAGGTCAGGAGTTCAAGGTTATCAATGCCAGCCTGGGGTACATGAGACTGTTTCTAAATAAATAAATAAATAGATAGTTCTGTGGGATAATGCTTTTGTATACTGGTTTATTAAAATGCTGATTGGCCAGTAGCCAGGCAGGAAGTATAGGCGGGATAAGTAGACAGGAAGAATGCTGGGAAGAGGAAGGCTGAGTCAGGAGACGCCAGCCTGCTGCCCAGGGTGCAGCATGTAATGGCACACAGGTAAAGCCACGGAACACGTGGCAACATATGGATTAACAGAAATGGGCTGAGTTTAAGAGTAAGAGCTAGTCAGTAGTTAGGCCTGAGCTAATGGGCGAGCAGTTTTAATTACTATAAGCCTCTGTGTGTTTACTTGGGTCTGAACAGCTGCAAACCGGGCAGGGCACAGGAAAACCTTCAGCTACAATATAGATTTTACATCAATTAAAAATATCCTGGAAAATTGTAGCAAATGTAGATGAACTGTGGCTTCAGTTTGATAGTTTTGAAAATCATAAGCCTTGGACACAGAAAGTGTGGGTGTTGTGAGAATTTGTTTTCCAGATGCCAAGATGACCAATGATGATTTGATACCACAAAACTTGGGCACTTAAGCCATTAGATTCTGAGTTGTAAGGTTTCAAAATTTTTCTGTGTTGCTAAAATATGAAACATATTTATTCCAAGCCATTGGTTTAGGGACATCTAGCACCCGTGGCACCCGGAAGCTCACCAGTGCTGGCCACTCAGGGCTGCTGCACATTCTGTACTCTGCTGCTGACCTGAGGACAGCTAGACCACCCACAAGTGTGAGTCTAGGCAGTAGGGGAGGGCAGAGTCCCCATCAGGCATTTTTGACAAGGTAGGGTCCCAGATCTCACACTAATGTTCACCCAACAGGACATAGTTTGAAAAAAAAGAAGAGAGGCTTGGATGTTCCATGTCCTTCCCCCTGCCCCTTGCATAGACAGAAGAATGAGGTACCAAGACATTTGGAAATTAATCTGCAAGGGGGGAATGTTTTGTTTTTGCTTTTCTTTCTAAGGAACTGGACCCTTTCCGGGGATCGTGGACCTTTTTGGACTTGGAGGTGGCCTTCTGGAGTATCGGGCTAGTCTGCTGGCTGGGAAGGGTTTTGCTGTCCTGGCTCTGGCTTATTATAACTATGATGACCTCCCCAAGGACATAGATTCCCTTAACCTGGAGTACTTTGAGGAAGCTGTGAACTACCTGCTCAGACACCCCCAGGTTGGCTCTTATAGTATTTCAATTTAAAATTTGGGGTCCCAAGTGCCTCCTCAAGTCAAAGTTGGATTTGCAACTCAGTAACTTGAAGCTTTATAACAGTCAATATTTAGTCTTTTCCAAATCCACAAAGCAAAGTATATTTAACTGGGGATGATTTCAGGGAGCATGAAAAGGTGATGGGCTGGAGAGATGGCTCAGTGGTTAAGAGCACTGACTGCTCTTCCAGAGGTCCTGAATTCAATTCCCAACAACCACATGGTGGCTCACAACCACCTGCAATTAATCTAGTGCCCTCTTCTGGCCTGCAGGCATACATGCAGGTAGAACATTGTATACATAATAAATAAATAAACCTTTAAAAAAAAAAGTCTTCCTAATTCAATTTTGGGGTTGGGGATTTAGCTCAGTGGTAGAGCGCTTGCCTAGCAAGCGCAAGGCCCTGGGTTGGGTCCTCAGCTCTGGAAAAAAAAAAAAAAAGAAAAGGTGGGTATATGGAAGTCTGAATCTCTCATAGGGTGAGCCAGATTGCTGAGGGGAGAGGGTTACCTCCAGCAATGTCCATTTCCCACCCAAACTGAGGTAGTCAAGACAAACCATAGTGTCTGTCACCTTAGCCGGGTCACAGTCTTGTGTCTATGATTTTGTGTCCAGCCTCCAAGTTTGTTATGCGCATTCAATGACCCATGCTCTTGGAATGTGTCTGTCATTTACTGATAAGTTTGTATTTATCCATTCAGCAAATACTAGTGGGTGTGGACCCAGCATGGACAGGCAGAGAAGACGAGGCCATGTCTACACATGACCATAGATACAGTGTGGGGTCAGGGGTGGAGAGCAAGGGGACAGGGCAAAGCAACTGTAGAATTCCGTGTCTGTGAAGTTGCAGAACTGATGGGGAACGGCTGAAACAAAATAAAGGAGAGAAGCCTGATTCCGAAGACTGAAACATTGTCTGCTGATAACTGTCTGGATCAGTCCGGCAATTACGACTCTGTGAACACTTCAGTACCCACCACCACTGACTGAAAGAAAAGAAATACAGAAAGAAATTAATAGTGACTCAGAATCTTCCAAAGCGGCTTAGGTTGGTTCTGTTCTGTTCATATACACCTGATTGTGACTTTATACACACAGATATACCAGGCACATTAATTATCTATTACCAGCCATTTAATTATCTCAAACAGGACTTGACCTGTGATTTCTTATTTGAGCGACAGGTAGACCCTGAACTTCACAGATGCCCAGTGACCCTTCCAAAGTCAGGATGGTAAAGAGTCATACTCAGGCTCAGGGCCACCCACTGTCCTACCTCTTATGCGGGCTCATTCTCATTTTTTTCCATCTGTGTCTTTCTCAGGTAAAAGGTCCAGGAGTTGGAGTGCTTGGCATTTCCAAAGGGGGTGAACTTGGCCTTGCGATGGCCTCCTTCCTGAAGGGCATCAAAGCTGCTGTCATCATTAATGGCTCTGTGGCTGCAGTTGGAAACACCATAAACTACAAGGATGAGACTATCCCTCCTGTGTCTCTTCTGAGAAATCGAGTCAGAATGACCAAAGATGGCCTCATGGATGTTGTGGAAGGTCTTCAAAGCCCTTTGGTAGAACAGAAGAGCTTCATCCCTGTGGAAAGGTCAGACACGGCCTTCCTGTTGCTTGTAGGTCAGGATGACCACAACTGGAAGAGCGAGTTCTATGCCAATGAGATCTCCAAACGCTTACAGGCCCATGGGAAGGAGAAGCCCCAGATCATCTGCTACCCGGAAGCGGGGCATTATATTGAGCCCCCTTACTTCCCACTGTGCAAGGCTGGCATGCACCTCCTGGTGGGTGCTAATATCACCTTTGGAGGGGTGCCTAAGCCTCATGCCATGGCCCAGGTAGACGCATGGCAGCAACTCCAGACTTTCTTCCACAAACACTTGGGTGGTGAAGAGAGGACAATCCCAGCAAAATTGTGATTTTATTTAAGTTTTACTTTATTTAACATCTCTTGTATAATATTAGAGGGACAAGCCTTAATATTAATACTTCCCAGGGACTCAGGAGAGAGAACTACTAACGGCGAGGACTGTTTTTGGGAAATAGAATCTCAGCACACCGAAGTCTATAGTCCGCTTGCTTTAATTCCTCTGGCATAACATCCTATTTACACAGCTTCAGTTCTGTTCTCATGCCTAGCTCCTTTCTTGCCTGATTTCTCTCTATATTTATCTACTGCTCTCTCTAAGTTCTACCTTAATTCTGCCTCTTCTAGGTCCTTTTCATCTCGTTCTTACCCAGCTACTACTTCCCCATCTGACTCTTCCTCATCTTCCATCTCATACACACATTCTCTCTGGTCAAATCCTCCTTGTCCCTCTCCGTTCTCCATCTTTCCATTCCCCCTAAGTCTCTCCGGAGTCCAGTTATAAACCCAAGCAATAGCAGTCCCCTGGTCGAGCAAGGTCACCCGGCCTGAATTCCTGTGTGGTCATAAAGGCAGGTAAGAGTTTCCTCAGGCAGTGACCACCAGGCTTCCAGGGTCAAATGGAGGGGAGTTAAGAATCACATAGAGGAGCAGTAATTGTTAATTATCATTTGCAACCCAAAGGGGAAGTGACTAATGAATTAACTAAAGGCTGAATTCAGGTAATATTTAAGAAGAGGGATCTTATGTGCTCAACTATAATCTTAAACATGATTGGTAGAAAATGTTAAAAATCTATAAGTTGCTAGGTCAGTGGGAGAAAATAAAACTGCCTTCTTTTTTCTGTGGCTCCTATCTGTTCAATCTATCTGTTCAAGGTGTGTTCAGTCGCTAGGCAACCTGAGCACAGCTAGATGCCTCTGGTGATAGTTGAAGGGAGATCTGGAACTAGAGGTAAGGTTTGGGAGAGGAGGAAGTTAAGCTTAATTGGCACATCCGCCAGGCCCTCTCAAACAGGTAGCCTGGATGCTTAAGTCTGTTCTAGAGAGTACAGAGGTATCTCTGATAAGGTACTTTCCTCCTCTGTCTAGGGATGGACCTGGCCGGATGCTGCCAATGATGGTAATTACAGGGAGGCTTGAACTGGGGTTCTGGCTGTGCATAGCTGTCAGCGCAGAAGGTTATCTAAATATTCCTTTAGTAGAGGGGAAATGGTGCCCAATAAATGATGGAAAAGCTACAACAGCACACAAGAAACTCATAGCAGAAAAACGGCTGATAATCAAAAGCCAAATATCACCAAGGCTCCTTGAGCCTTAGCTTGACCTCTGGAAGGCCCTTGGCTTCTCCCAGGGATTAGCATTGTCATAATCAGCTGAGATCCTACTTTATACATTTTTTTTTTACTCTGTACATTTTTGTGGCTAGCAGCAGACATCTCTAATGCAGGTCTCTCCTGGGAATAGCCTCCACTGTGTGTGTGTGTGTGTGTGTGTGTGTGTGTGTGTGTGTGTGTGTGTGTGTGTATGTATGTGTGTGTGTTTAATATCAATGTGAAGGTTTCCCCCCAATTTTTTTTTTACTGCAGGCCTTATCAGTCTGGGAGGGGAATGATTGTAGAAAATGTAAGGTATGGCAGAAGCTGATCTCGTGCCATGGCTCAGCCTGCAGGTGGCAAGAGCTGGAGCTCTGAAAGAAAGGCCGAGTCACTGTGTCATCACTGGAGTTCAGTCATTATTTGCTAAATGGCTAATTGAAAAATAAATGATTACCTACTGTTTAAACCACCCTCAACAGGGGCTGGGACGATGGCTCAGCAGTTCAGAGCACATGCTGCTCTTATAGGACCTACATTTGGTTCCCAGCACCTGAACCAAGCAGCTCACAACTGACTGGGACTCCAGCTCCAAGAGACCCAGAGCTCTCTTCTGATCCCCTTGGGCACCCGTACACACGTGTTCATGCCCATGCACACACAAACAATTAAAAAACATGGTTTTGTCCCTATGCTAATTCCCTACCGGGTTCCACCCTCCTGAATGCTTAAGGAAAGATCCTTGTCTGTGTATCCTGCATAATGGGCATTAACAGCTTAGATGCAAGATTGTAAAACATCAGTAGCAAACTTCTGCCCTCTGGGGTTCTCCCATGTGCTGTAAGCCTGTATTTAAGACCTCCTCCCTCCTTCAATAAACTGCATTCAGCATTAAATAAATTAAAAAAAAAAAACAAAAAACAAAACCAGGGCCCGGCAGCACTTTGGAGGCAGAGGAAGGTGGATCTCTGTAAGTTCGAGGCCAGCCAGGACTACACAGAGAAACTCTGATGTGAAAAAAAAAAAAAAGTGGCAACATGGGCCAGCACAAGCACTGGGGAACTTTCTAACCCTGCAGGACTTGAGTGCCCCTCTGAGTCCAGAATCTGAAAGCCTGTGTGGGTGATGCTGAGGTAACCCCCAGTGTAAAAGAGCCACACAGCTCTGAGAGGAACTTGAGTTCAGTGACTCACAGAGAGATGTTCTAGGGGATTTAGCCAGGGATGTTCATGACACTTTGAACTGTTGAAATGCTGATAAAAACCAGTTTGAAGACCATCCTAGGATAAGGATGCTGTACCTGTGATTGCACAACAGTTAATCCGTGGTGCTGCACGTTTTGATGGCCCCAATATTGCTGTAGAAGATGGTTGGAATGTACATGGCTCTGGCAGACAGCCTTGAAATAGGATAGCTACATATTTATGCAGTATGAGGAAAAATCCATCAGCACTAAAGGGCCTTTGATAAGAGATTTCCAGATCCCTTTCCTTGACTTCCTGATGGGCATCTGTGTTTCCTTCCTATTCTAAGTCTGTCAAAACCTAGTATCCTAATTAGGACACTGTTTTTAAAGTTCAGAGTGTCTTGGAGTCACTAGACGTTAAATCTGGGGTTCACTACCACTGTTAAATTTTCCAAGGTCCATTTTTCTACCCTCTCCTGATTGTAACTTGCAGTCAACTAAGTTTCCCTTGTCAGAGACCATTTCACATTATAGTCTGTCTGTGGCAGGGCAAGCTAACTTGGTACTCGGGAGCTCCTGCAAGCCATCCACTTCTCCTTTTATAGTGGCCAGAATGTGCTCCATGTGGTAGCTCCTTCACCAGGGCGACTCTCTGTAGATGTAACCAACCATCTTATTAAATAAGAAACACAGAACCAATGCAAAGAAGAAAGCCAAGAGGTCAGAGCTAAGAGCTAAAACCTTACCCTTCCTCCTGCGGTGGTCCTACCTCTCCGAAAGAGAGCTACTTCCTGTGTTAAAGTCTTTATATAGACTTTCTGTTCTGCCTTCTCATTGGTTGTAAACCCAACCACATGACCGCCTCGTCACTGCCTGTCTGTATAGACCTCCAGGTCTTCTATGGTTGGTATTGAGATTAAAGGCGTGTGTCTCCAATGCTGGCTGTATCCCTGAACACACAGAGTCTTACCTAGCTCTGCCTACCAAGTGCTGGGATTACAAGCGTACGCCACCACTGCCCTACTTTCCTATGGCTCTAATAGCTCTGACCCCCGGGCAACTTTATTTATTAACATACAAATAACATTTTAATACAAATAAAATATCACCATAACTCTCCTAAAAGAAAACATTTAATTGTAATGCCAGCTTACAGTTTCGGAGGGTTAGTCCATTATCATCTTGATGGGACATGGTGGAGTGTAGGCAGACATGGTGCCACAGAAGGAGCTGAGAGTTCTACATCTTGACGCACAGGCAGCAGAAGGAAACTCACACTGGGTGTGGCTTGAGCATAAATGAGACCTCAAAGCCCACCCCCACAAGGACACGCTTCCTCCAACAAGGCCACACCTACTCTGCCGTGCCTGCATGGCAATTGGGCCCAAAACCTGGCGAGGGAAGTCGGGATGAACACAGCACACACCAGTCAAGTTGCAAGCATCAGGACTCGCTTTATTCTTTCTTCCCCGTCTTATATACCCTTTCAGGAGGAACAAACAAAATTGTTTATCAAGCACCCACGGTCAAGGAATGGTCAGCATGCCCCAGGAAGCCACAGCTGCCAAACCACCAGATATACCAAACAGCAAAACATCCACAGAACAGCCTGACCTCAGCGCACTCAGAACAGAGGAGGTGGGGGCGATCTTAGAGGGGTCAGAGCCATTCTGATCCCAACACTACTCCAACAAGGCCACACCTCCTAATAGTACTACTCTCTATGGCTCAAGCATTCAAACACGTGATTCTATAGGGGCCACCTCAAACCACCACAATTGGTTAGAAAAATGGGTGAGTTGTTGTAGGATAATCTTTTTGTACACTGTGAAGATGCAGCTCTGCTAAGACACCTTATGACTGGTATAATAAAGAACTGAACAGCCAACAGCAGGAGAGGATAGGTGGGACTTCTGGGAAGAGATAGGAACTATGGGAAGAAGAGAGGTGGAATTCACCAGCCAGACACAGAGGAAGTGGGACATACAGAATGGAGGAGAGGTAATGTGCCATGTGGCAGAATGTAGATTAATAACTGGGTTAATTTAAGGTTTTGTTTTATTTATTTATTTATTTATTTATTTATTTATTTATTTATCTTCAAGACAAGGTTTCTCTGTGTAGTTTTGGTGCCTGTCCTGGAGCTCATTCTATAGACCAGACTGACCTCAAACTCACAGAGAGCCACCTGGCTCTGCCTCCCGAGTGCTGGGATTAAAGGCGTGCGCCCCTGCCACCCCGCTGAATTTAAGTTTTAAGAGCTAGTTGGGAACAAGCCTAAGCTAAGGCCAAGCTTTCATACTTAATAAGAAGTCTCCCTGTCATTATTTGGGGGCTGGAGGTCCAAAGAAAGTTCAGCAACAGGTGAGCTACAGTTTCTAGCAGGGACGAAAAGCTATATATGCTTTGAAGGAGGTGACTGGGTGGTTAGGACTTGGTGACTGTGGACAGCTGGAATGTTGCAGGCCCAAAGCCAAATAAATGATCTGGGAGTATCTTTAGCCCCTAAAATAGCCACTTACTGCCTATCCAACATTCCTGTAACTCTTAGGTAAATCTTTTTTGGAATGTACAGACCTCTAACTTCCACCAGCCCAGAGGCTCAATATGTTGTCCAGTAACACACCTACTTGATGTTTCCACCAATGTGCTTTAAAAGGACCTTGATTTCTGGTGTGTGTGTGTGTGTGTGTGTGTGTGTGTGTGTGTGTGTGTGTGTATACACGCCTGCACATGTGTGTGTACCCAAGGAGGCCAGAAGAGAGCATCAGATTCCCGGGAGCCAGTATTACAGGTAGTTGTGAGCCCCAACATGGGTGCTGGGAACTGAACTTGGGTCTCTGGGTAAGCAACAAGTATTGTTAACTGCTTAGTTATTTCTCCAACCCAATTTGTGATTTTTCTGGGAGGAGGAGGGTATTGTTCTTGTTATGCCTTAGTTACTTTTTTTATTGCTGTGATAAGACACCAGGATTAGGCAACATATAAAAGAAAGAGTTGAGCTGGAGAGATGGTTCAGCCGTTAAAGGCTAGGCTCACAACCAAAAGAAAGAGTTTATTGGGGGCTTACTTACAGTTTCAGAAGGCTAGAGTCCATGATCATCATGGCCAGGAGCATGACAGCAGGCAGGCAGGTAGGCAGGCATGGCTCTGGAGCGGTAGCTGAGAGCTTTCATCTGATCAGTGAGCACAAGGCAGAGAGAGACAACTGGAAATGATGGCCTTTGAAACCTCAGAGCCCAGTGACACACCTCCTCCAAAAAGACATCCTTCTTAGTCCTTCTCAGTTTCACCAGTGGGGGACCAAGTATTCAAATGTAGGAGCCTGTGGGGGGGGGCATTTTCATTCAAACTACCACGTTGAAAACTTCATGGAACTATTACCATATAGGAACATGGTATTTGGGGCAACCTTAATCCATGTTCCTGGAGCACCCTCATCCAGGTTTGGGTTCGAAATAAACTATTTCTTATTCTCCTTGAACTGTTTTACATCAACAAATTGAGTTTTCATATGTCTACACTTGAGATGAACTACAGATGTTAAAAATATATGAATGTGGCCAGATGGTGGCTCACGCCTTTAATCCCAGCACTCAGGAGGCAGAGGCAGGCTGATCTTTGTGAGTTCAAGGCCAGCCTGGTCAACAGAATGTTGTTGGACAGGCTCCAAAGCTACACAGAGAAACCCTGTCTCAAAAACAAACAAACAAACAAAATAGGTGAATGTGTCAGGCAGTGGTGGTGCACACTATTGATCCCAGTACTCAGGAGGCAGATGCAGGCAGATCTCTTGAGTTTGAGGCCAGCCTGGTCTACAGAGTGAGTTCCAGGACAGCCAGGGATGTTACACAAAGAAACCCTGTCTCAAAAAACATACTACTTCTAATACTAATAATAATGTCTGTACAGTGTGGGAGTATATAAAGATGTGTGGTGTGTGTTGGTGTATGAAAGAAACATGTATAGTAACTTTTCTAAGCAAGCAGGTGTATTTGCATAGTTGGAATACGCCTAAACCATGAAGCAGAAATAAAGTTTAATGTGTAAACTAATTAAAAGATTGTGTTGGAAAGATGGCTCAGCAGTTAGTAGCGTTTGCAGCTCTTACAGAAGAGTTCAGTTCCCAGCACCCACACTTCATCTCAGAACCACCCCCAGCTCTAGTTCCAAGGGAACCAGCTCCCTCTTCTGACCTACACACTCATGTGTACCTGGCATACATGTGGTATAGATGTGTATGCAGGCAAAACACCCCATATGCATAATATATATATTTTTATTCATTGGTGTTTTTGCCTGCATGTATGTCTGTGTGAGGGTGCCAGAAGCCTTGGAACTGGAGTTGTGGACAGTGTGAGCTTCCATGTGGGTGCTAGGAATTGAACCCTGGTCCTCTGGAAGAACAGCCAGTACTCCTAACCACTGAGCCATCTCTCCAGCCCCCTTTCCCCCCCGAATACGTAAATATTTAAAAAAAAAAAAAAAACCAAAAGAACAAAAAACTCAAAACAAAGGATGTGCCTTTGTAACATCGGGACCAAGAAGAATTTCTTGCTGACTCAAAAAACACAAAGAAAATAGAAAAACCTTGATGAGACAAACAAAAGATAAAGTTAAATGCAAGGAAGGTCGGGTCATAAAAATCCAGAAGCTTGGGGCTGGAGAGATGGAGAACTCACTACTCTTGCAGAAGACCTGAATTCACCTCCTACGACCCAAATGGCAACTCACAACTGTCCATAATGCCAGTTTCAGGGGATCTGATGTCCACTTCTGGCCTCCAAGGGTACTAATCACTGATATAACTATACCCCCAAATACTCAAACACATAAATATTAATAATTTTAAAAAATTTTTGTTTGTCAAGACAGGGTTTCTCTGTAGCCCTAGCTGTCCTGGAACTCATTCTGTAGACCAGGCTGACTCTGACCTCGAACTCAGAGATCTGCCTGCCTCTGCCTCCCAAGTGCTGGGATTAAAGGCGTGTGCCATCATGCCCTGCTACTAATAAATGATTTTTAAATCTAGGAATTTACAAGCAAGTACAGATAAATGTGGACTTTATTTGACTCTTTGATAGCAATCTTGAAAAATCACAAGCCTTGGCATAGAATGTAGAGACACTACCTGAGAATTTAGAATTTCTTTCATAATTTTTTTCAAGATTATCAATGAATAGGTTTTGATATCACAGTACTTCAGAAGTGCAATTAATCAGATCTTTTCATGACAAACACATTTTTTAAAAATTCTGGATGGCTTAAGTTGGAAAGAAATGTGCTGGGAGGTCACTGATTTAGGGATACAGTGGAACAGGCATTGGGAAATTGGGACCAAAAAACTGAGAGGATCCCAGGGAACCTCTACAAAGAACCAAGTACCTAGCCCCAGCACCCAGCCAACAGTTGACATCCATGATGATGGACACTCAGGGCTGCAGTAAACTCAGTGCAGATGCTGTTGAGCTAAGTAAATGGAAAACTGTCTCTCCCTCTTGTGTCTCTCTTTATAAGGAAATGGATCCTTCCCTGGGATCATAGACATTTTCGGAGTTGGAGGTGGCCTTCTGGAGTATCGGGCTAGTCTGCTGGCTGGGAAGGGTTTTGCTGTCCTGTCCTGGCTCTGGCTTATTATAACTACGATGACCTCCCCAAGGACATAGATACCCTTCACCTGGAGTACTTTGAGGAAGCCGTGAACTACCTGCTCAGACACCCTCAGGTTGGCTGTTACTTTTGTCTTTTGGTTTAGAAACATCCATCCACCAAGGCAGGATTTTCAATCTAGTTGCTAAGGCACAGGGTGGGGGGCCCACTCCCACTTTTACCCCAGGGTACTGCACTGTTGAGGAGGGAGAAATGAGAAATAGTTAGATAGAAATATAGAGGGGAGAGAGAGACAGAAACACAGGATGGCTCGGAAGGGCCTGGATCCTTAACCACCGGCCCCTTCTGTCTCTTCTAAAGGGCTTTTTAAAGGAATGCCAAGGGGTGGAGCAAAAGACCTGCCCACAGCACAGACCCTTCTGTACAGACCCTTCCGAGCTAACCTGGTAACCACACACATGGTCAAGCAATCCTCTAATGCAGCTCTGTTGGGTAAAGCAAGCTCAGATCTCACTAGGAAACCTTTGTGGACCTCCACAGCACAGTGATATAATTAAATATTAGATTGTTTTAAAAAATTTTATGTATATGAGTATTTGGCCTGCATGCATGTTTTGTGAACCACATGTGTGCCTGATACCTGTGAAGGCAAGAAGAGGGTTTTGTATCCCTTGAACTGGAATTACAGACAGTTGTGAGCTGCCACAGAGTGGATGCTAAGCACTGAACCATTTCTCCAGCCCCCAATATTTAGTCTTTTCCAAGGTCAAAAAAGGAAAGTCAATTTTTTAACTAGATAAGACATAGAGTTGGCTGGAAGTCTGACAATGGAAACACATAGACAAGAGCCTGATATCATGGTTCGTCCCAAAAGGAGGCTACCTGGGGTATGACACAGTCAGTGTTAAGATTAGAGAAGGCCAAGGTAAACCACAGCTGGCCTGGGGCCCTGAGCGGCATCATTGCTTTGCTTGAGTGTGTCTCCAGGCTCTGGTTTTGTCCTGAGCACCAAGTGGCTCACACTTGTGAAGCCCTACAGGAGGACCTACCCTTAACTGACAAACATCCTTCACTGGGCAGACAGTAGAGGAGTGAGTCAGGGCTACAAGTGAGGAAGACAAAATCAGGTCCACGTGAGGTCAGAGTGGAGTGTGGGGCAAGGCGGGGGACCGATGTGGAAAACAGAAAATCACATTCAGTGTGAACAAGGAAACAAAGAGGCCACTCATGAAGCCCAGCAGAAGTGAGAGCTGACAGGAGGAGCCTCATTTTGCAAGGGTTGAAAGTTTCCCTGTTAGGCTGGGCGGGTGGTGGCGCACGCCTTTAATCCCAGCACTCGGAAGGCAGAGCCAGGCGGATCTCTGTGAGTTCGAGGCCAGGCTGGTCTACAAAGCAAGTTCCAGGAAAGGCGCAAAGCCACACAGAGAAACCCTGTCTCGAAAAACCAAAAAAAAAGAAAAAAAAGAAAGTTTCCCTGTTAAGCAGTAGAGTCGTTGTCTGGGAACTTGTCCTATCAATTATGGTTTTGTAAACCTTTCAGTGCCTGCTACCACTTATGTGTTAGAAGAAAATTGATACAGAAGGAAATAGTGGGCAGGTCTGCCAAGGAGGTTTTCTTTATACATGCCTCTCCATGATTTTGTAATATTTATATATACCATTAAATAAGTACCTTTATAATGATCTCAAATAACTCTTTGATAAAAGTAACACTAATTTCAGTTTTGGAGACTTTTGTTTCTCTCTGTTCTGGCTAGTTTTAGGTCAACTTGAACAAGCTAAAGTCATTGGAGAGGAGGAGGCCTCCACTGAGAAACTGCCTCTGTAAGATGGTTCTGCAGGGAAGCCTGTGGAGCATTTCCTTAATTAGTGATGTGGGGGGACCCAACCAATTGTGGGTGGTGTCACCCCTGGGCTGGTGTTCCTGGGTTCTCTAAGAAAGCAGACTGAACACGCCATGAAGGGTAAGCCCGTCAGCAGCACTCCTCCATGGCCTCTGCATCAGCTCCTGCCTCCAGGTTCCTGCCCTGTTTGAGTTCCTGTCTTGACTTCCTTCAAAGATGGGCTATGATGCGGATATGCAAGGCAAATAAACCCTTTCCTCCCCAACTTGCTTTTGGTCATGGTGTTTCATCACAGCTATGGTAACCCTAACTAAGACAATTTCTTTCTCTTCTTCTGTACGTTACGTATGTGTCTCACTCAGACTCTTAAACACAACAGAATATTACCTGCGTTTACTTTAATACCATCAACTTACATGAATGTAGTGCCCTCAAGTATAAAAGCACCATAGGAAAAGAGCTAAGCTTTTCTTGACTTATCCACATGCTTCCTTTGACATATTCATGCTTAGGAATGAGCCTGTTAATTCTCATTTGAGCTTCATGTAGACCAGGGGTCTTAGAGTTGAGCCTCATCTTACCACTAGGGACATTGATTTGAAGAGACTTAATCACCTTTCAAAAGCCAGGATGGTGCAGAGGGAGATTCAGGCTAGGCTACCTTGCATCAATAGGTTGTCACCACTAACTGTCCTACCCTCCAGATGATCTCATTCCCTTTCTTCTCTCTGTCTCTTTCTTAGGTCAAGGGACTGGGGATTGGCCTGCTGGGGACTTCCAAAGGGGCTGAACTCTGCCTCTCCATGGCCTCTTTCCTGAAAGGAATCACGGCTGCTGTCATAATCAATGGCTCTATGGCCAATGTTGTTGGAACATTACACTATAAGGATGTGACCCTGCCCTCTTTATGCATACATGTAGATCGTATCAGGGTGACCAAAGATGGCCTTAAAGATATTTTGGATGTCCTGAATTGCCCTTTAGAAGGACCTGACCAGCAGAGCTTGATTCCTGTGGAAAGGTCAGACACGGCCTTCCTGTTGCTTGTAGGTCAGGATGACCGCAACTGGAAGAGTGAGTTCTATGCCAATGAGATCTCCAAACGCTTACAGGCCCATGGGAAGGAGAAGCCCCAGGTCATCTGCTATCCCCAAACAGGGCACAATATTGAACCCCCTTACTTCCCACTGTGCAAGGCTTCCCTGCATGCCTATTTTAACATGCCTGTCGTCTTTGGAGGGGAGCCCAGGGCTCAAGCCATGGCCCAGGTGGATGCATGGCAGAAACTCCAGACTTTCTTCCACAAACATTTGGGTGGTGAAATGAGGACAATCCCAGCAAAACTGTGATTTTTTTTTTTTTTTTGAATAGTGACATTTCTGATCCCTCCTGAGCAGGGCTGCCACTGTTAGGATGTGTATCCATTTTTTTCTCCCTTTAATAAAGTCTTGAAGTCTTCCTTACTGGTTGAAGGACAGCATCTTTCCTACTTTCTTATGGTGCTGAGGATGGAGCCCAGGGCTTGTGCATGGTAGGCTAGCACTCTGCCACTGGGCTATCCCACTCTACCTTAGAGGGCAGTGATTCATTTATTTTTTTTAATTTTTCATGTAATATATTTTTATCACATTTTCTCCTCCTGCAACTCCTCCCAGAATCTCCCCACCCAACTCTGTATTCTCTCACTTTCAAAACCAAACCAAACCGTAAAAGCAAAAAATCAAAACAAACAACCATGCACACACACACACACACACACACACACACACACACACACACACCAACCAAACAAATGAAAAACCATGGGGTTCATTTGTGTTAGCCAGCAACTGGGCATGGGACCTACCCTGGACTGTAGTTGACATGCAGTCACACTTCATTCGAGAAAACTGATTTTCTGTTTGTCACTGGGTATCAATTCTAAATAGCTTCTTGGTTAGGAGTGGGGCCCCATGTCCACTTTCCCCTCTCAGGGCTACGATCCCATCTGACTTGAACCTGTGCAGGTCTTGTAAGTCCTGCTCCAGTCTCTGTGAGTTCATATGTCTATTAATTCTGTCATGTCTGGGGGGAGACTCAGCATATTGTCCCTTTCAGTGGCCTGCATTGTGGAGCTCAGGCTTGTAAACAGGGACTATGGGAGAAGGCTCTGGGACAGGGAAATGGTTGCATGCACTCCAAGACTTGGTAGTGCCAAGCACTATGGCCACTGCCAGCAACTAGTGGTGTGGGACAGGAACATTCAGAGGCTGCTCGTTGTAGCTAATAGGTTTCTCCACCAACACAGTAAGCCAGATCAAACTGAACTGAAAAAGTATAACAGGGATATTTGAGCAAAGCAACCCCTGGGTGGGTTCTCCTGTCCCAAAGATCAAGGCCAGAGATGTCTCACCACCGAACTAAAGCAGGGAGATTTTATGGATTGTAGGTGAGGGGTGATAAGGTGTCCACCACAGCTGGGTTTGTGCCCAAGTATGGTCAAAAACCAAGGGCTTAGGTGGGTGCCGTGTGATATTTTTATCGTGTTCTGACAAATAAAGCTTGCTTGGAGTCAGAGGGCAGAGCTAGCCACTAGCTCACCAAAATTAACCACAGAGGTTTTGGAGGACTGTAGACAGACAGGACAGGAAGGAAGTAGTAAGGTGGGGCAAAGAGGGATCTCGGCCTATTTGGAGGAAGGAATGGAGCAGATGGGAAGGACTGGTGGCTTCTCTACTCTGATCCTTCAGGTTCTTACCCCGATATCTGACTCCTGAATTTTTATTGATAAAGAATAATTAGAATAACACTTCAGGTAGAGACCTAAGCAGCTAGTAACTTCAGAGGAGGAAGCTGCAGTAGCCACCAAGAATGTGGAACTGAGTTTTTTGGCAGGGTTTGGAGAGAGAGACAGGAATGGGGCTTTCTAGATCATGGAGGGGTGGGCCGGAGGTGCCAACCAAACAGTAGCCCGCCTCTTAAAAGTAGCACTGAGAGAGATACAGAGAAAAAATCTTGACAGTTTTAGATGCTGTGTACTGGCTTTTGAACTACCTGACTTAAATAACTCTGGGGGTTTGAATAGAAATGGCCCCATAGACTCATGAACTTGAATGCTTGGCCCAAAGGAAGTGGCACTATTAGGAGGTGTGGCTTTGTTGGAGGAAGTGTATCACTGTGGGGGCTTTGAGGTCTCACATGCTCAAGCTGTGCTCAGTTTGGGACATAGTGCACTTCCTGTTACCTGCGGATCGAGATGTAGAACTCTCAGCTCCTTCTCCAGCACCATGTCTGCCTGCATGCTGTCATGTCCCACCATGATGATAATGGACTAAACCTCTTAAACTGTAAGCTAATACCAATAAATGTTTTCCTTTGTAAGAGTTGCTGTGGTCATGGTGTCTCTTCATAGCAACAGAAACCCTAAGAAAGACAATACCCAGCAATTTTTACTCTAAAAAAACAACCCCCCAAAAAATACATAACAAAAAATCCTTGTAATTAACTGAGATTACATAATAAAGATTCCTTAACTGAGATCACCAGGGTCTGAAAACTTGGAATTCAGACTTTGTAGCCTGGCTCTTGCAAGCTACAGGGCACCTGGCAGCTGACCCTGAGGTAGAGAAGGTGTTTACAAAGCAATTGGCTTAAAAAAAAGAAAACAAGACTTGTAAAGAGACACGAGTACTTAAATTTATAAAAACAAAACAAAACAAAACACGGTTCAACCCATCCCCTCTGCTAATGTGGGACAAGACTGCTTGTGTCTTCCCTCAAGGTGTGGAATGGCTGTCAGACCAGGGGGAAGGGAGAGAGACAAGAGCATAACTCCACCCTCATCAGGACCAGATTGTCCTTTACTCAGAACAATGAGGACAAAACCTCTCTGCGGACATGGAGGCTGTGCCCGTGGCGCAAGGGGCAGGAGGTTTTGTAGAGTTAGAAGGGGAAGTGCCTATCAGGGTGGGAGTCCAGCTCTGCAGTTTCGCATGAGGAGCGCTTGTGCTGAGTAATAGCCTTGGTGCCTATCAGGGTGGGAGTCCACTGGGAAATGTGTTGGCCTTGGTTCCAACTCTGCAGTTTCAGTTGAGGAAATGTTTGAGCTGAGCAATAGCCTTGGACACAGGGATCTTGGTTTCAGATAGGAACCATGTGCGCTAGCAGGTATCCTTGAGCATGGGAAGCTCTGTCAGGACTTGCCAGATGGAGACATTTTTACCCTTTAACAGTCACTTTGGGTCCAGTGAAGAGCCTGATTCCATGTATGAAGAGGCCAGGGATTGGGAAATAACAGTCGCTGTATTTCTGAGATGTCTGGCAATCTTATTCATGTAGCCGAGTCCGGTCAGGGGAAAAGCCTATGGACTCTATTAATAATCCCCTCCATTTGGAGGGTTACTACGCTAACCACTTGGAGTCCCCACGAGCTCCATCCAAACATTTGCAGCAGGCTCCATCTCTACCTTAAATAAGATTTACTATATCCCATGGATTACCAACGCGAGATTGGGAGTGGACCAGGATGACAGAGAAAAGGCGTGAAGCACCACTCCAACTTCCACAGCAGCAGACAGCCCTTTAATAGAGACAGTGACCACAGCAACCTCACGGCAGGTGAAAGGATGATAAACAGCGCTGGTTACCAGCTGAAAAGTCTGGAGCCACAGCCACGACTACCTAGTGACAGAGAGCTTTATTTGGGGCAAGAGGGGACCAAGCCTGGGGAGGAGAGGGAGAGAAAGAAAGAGAAAGATGGTGGGGGAGAGGGAGGGGGAGGGAGAGAGAGCAGAGAGAGAGAATGAGGTCTGCATCCGGCTTTTAAGGCGCTGATTGTGTGACCATGCTGCCTGTACGAGTCGCCAGTGCCCACTGCTGACATAGGACGCAAAACCCTGAATTTCGCATGCGCAGTCACAGGGAGCTGGAGTAAGGGCAGAATTCTAACAGCAGGAATGGAGCCTGTGAGCCTCAGCACGAGGGGCCTGAGGTTTTGTAGGGTTTGAAAGTGGAAGGGTGTTGGATTTGAGAACAGAGTAATGAAATAAAAGGCAGGAAGGAGACCAAGGTCTGCCCTCAACAGATGGGACTGTTTCCTAGCACCGCAGCAAGTGACAGCAGCAACCCTCAGAATGGACGTTGTCCAAATGGGAGGGAGGAGATGGTCAAGCACTTAGAGGTGTGGGCAAGGCGCTTGGGTGCGAGGAAGTGAGTACAGCTGCGAGGGTATGTGCGAGTTAAGATGTTGTTTGGGGCTTTTTGCTCTTTTTAGGGGGCCCGCCACCCAGCTCCCAAACAAATCACACACAGAGGCTATTCTTACGTAGGAATGCCCGGCCTTAGCTTGGCTTTTTTCTTGCCAGCTTTCCTTAAATTATCCCATCTACCTTTTGCACCTGGGCTTTTTCTGTTCTCTTACTTCTGTAAGTCTTACTCTTATTGCAGGGCTGGCTGGGTGGCTGGGTGGCAAGGTGGCTGGCCCCTGGAGGCCTCCTCCTTCTCTGGCTACTTCCTCTTTTCACTCTTCCATCTCTTTTTTACTCCCAGATTTCTCCCTATATATATTCTCTCTGCCTGCCAGCCCCGCCTATCCTTACTCCTCCTTGCTATTGGCCGTTCAGTCCTTTATTAGACCACCAGTTGTTTTAGACAGGCACAGTAACACAGCTTCACAGAGTTAAACAAATGCAGCATGAACAAAAGTAACACACCTTAAAATAACATTCTGTGCTGGGTGTTGGTGGCGCACACCTTTGATCCCAGCACTTGGGAGGCAGAGGCAGGCGGATCTCTGTGAGTAGTAGAAACTTAGTAACCACTGGGCCATTAGGGTTGAGTAGAGTGAGTCACAGGAGTGGGCATCTCTAGTTTTCTCTTTGAAGGATGGGTTTGGACTTTTTCTTGCATGCTTTGTCTATGGGTTTTTTGAAAACAGGATCTCTCTATGAATTGCAGACTGGCTTGGAATTGCAGTGTTCCTCCAGTTTTTTGAGAGAGGTTTGCTTTCCGCAACTAGATGACATGTGACCAAATATTGGGCTCACTCCAACTTGGACTTTCTAAACTTCAAAAACTGTAAGACATAAATCTCTTTTCTTTATAAATTACCCAACCTTATGTATTTCTCTAGAGAAGCAAAAATAGCTTAAAATAAAAGTAACACGGTATTTAAAAGTTTTTTTTTGTTGTTGTTGTTGTTTATAAAACAAAAACTGCTACTGAATCCACGCAAAGGCCGGACTTTGCCTCAATTTTATTTACCTAGTGTCCTCAACACCACGTGCTCAGAATCCTCTGCCCTGGCTCAGCCCCACTGCTACTTTGACCTCTCCTGTCACCCGGGAGACATCAGCCCGATTTCTGTCCTTTTCGTATTCGGGACGAGACCCGCCAGGTCGGCTCCACAGCAGGCCAGGCTCCTCTCGGGACCCGCGTGCCCTTCCCGGTGACCTGCAGCCTCTGAGCTCCCAGCTCCCCATGGCGGCGGCGGCGGCGACGCTGAGCCTGGAGCCCGCGGGCCGCAGCTGCTGGGACGAGCCGCTGAGCATCGCCGCGCGCGGCCTGGCCCCCGAGCAGCCCGTCACGCTGCGCGCCGCCCTGCGCGACGAGAAAGGCGCGCTCTTCCGCGCCCACGCGCGCTACCGCGCCGACGCCCACGGCCGGCTGGACCTGGCGCGCGCGCCCGCGCTGGGCGGCAGCTTCGCGGGGCTCGAGCCCATGGGGCTGCTCTGGGCCCTGGAGCCCGAACGGCCTTTCTGGCGCCTGCTCAAGCGCGACGTGCGGACGCCCTTCGTGGTGGAGCTGGAGGTGCTGGACGGCCACGAGCCCGACGGCGGCGGGCGGCTGCTGGCGCGGGCGGTGCACGAGCGTCACTTCATGGCTCCCGGGGTGCGGCGCGTGCCCGTGCGCGAGGGCCGTGTGCGCGCCACGCTCTTCCTGCCCCCAGGTGAGCGGCCTCCCTCCTGTGCTTGCAGCCCGGGATGCTTCGTGGGGGCGGTGCCTGGGCCCTTCTTCCCTGGCTCCTGTTGTGCCCAGTTCATGACCCCCAGAGAGACCACCAAGGACGACTGTACCAGAATGCAGAAGCAAGGTTTATTTCCCTTACAAGTGGCGACAGGGAACTCATCTCAAGCACTCACTGGCCGAAGCGCAGTGAGGCAGGGAGAAGTTACTCTTTTTTGGGGGAAGTTAGTTTTTATAGGCAAAAACCATAAAATTTCTTAGAGAGGAGGGGGTTAGTACGGGTCCATCCTTGATTGGTCCAGTTTTTCCCGGGCCTGGACTTTGTCTTATTTCAGCTTATCTGTTTGCCCTGTCAGGAATTTTACAACCCATCTCCAGGGTCTGGTCATGTTATCTCTGGAGAGGGGCATCTTGTGGGTAAACAGTCACCACCAGACATCCTGACTTTGTTCTTTTGAAAACACCTGACTTCACCCTCTCCAGGAAGGGGGAACTGACTCAGTTCTGTTTATTTTTAAGATATCTCTTCCCTCAGCTCTTTTGAGTTTCTGGGGGAACTGTGTCTGGGTCTTTGGTGGGGGTCTTCCATTCCCCCCTTCTATTGGCCCTAGAGGGGCTCAATCATGGGCCCCTAACTTGTTCTAACTTAAGAGATTCCCATGTTCTCACTTCGGGGTCTGCAGATGACTCATATTCAGTGGTCCTGAGTTGAGTATAACCCCATCGTACCATGAGTTGTGTGGTGCCCAGCCTCTGTTTCATAAATTGTACTAGTCTGTTAAGGATACAGGGCCCGAAGATAAGTAAGATAATAAGAATCATGGCAGAGCCTATTAGACTACAAATTAGTTAAAAATGGCCATTCCCCTGCATTTCAGCCTTATCTGAAGAGGGAACATGGGACGACGTATTCTCTTCTGGAACTGCTTTGAGCTGACATTGGGGCGCAATTGTCGGAGGCCCCCAGAAGACTGAAAAGCTGGTCAAAGACTGGGCAAGGGGCATTTGTCAGTAGCATGTAGCTACCTGACCCCATAGGGACAGGGAAGAATCATGTTAGCTGGGCTGGTCCGCATCAGCTTTTAGCAAGTCTGGAGATCACAGTCGTCTGGAGCAGTGTAGTCAGCAACTGAAACTTGGAGGTGTCTGCCAACCAAGTGGAGATCTGTTGAGACAAATTTAAACTAGGAACAGAAGTTAAAATTTATGAACTTATTTGGAACCCTTAGGTACATACCCTTAGTAATGGGAAAAGCAGGAGTCTCAAGACCTCAAGAGAGGAAAAATACCATCTTTAGGAATACTTATCTGGGGTCCTTTCGACCTCTGTGAAGTGGATGTAGGTTTTATGACTCTTTTGATCCTTTGAGGCCTACTTACAAAATGACATAAAAGTTTTAGATACATTAGTATTACCAATCTGTACTGAAATCCATATTGTAGACAAAGCAGGTAATGGGTATCTGTAAAACAGCAGAAGTGGACTCATACCTTTGAGTCCCAACAAGAACTACAGATTTGGGTTAAAAGCATGTGCATTTTTCTTCTGTCCAGAAAGCCAGGTATAAATTGGCCAGAGATTTTTGACCTGATGAGAAGCACTTTTAGGTTTACATTTAGATATATTTAGATGACATCTAAAATGTTGAGCTTGTGACTGAACAGGCACTATGTCTGCCTGCATGCTGGCATGCTTACAGCCATGACAAGAATGGACTAAATCTCTGAAACTCTAAGCAAGTTCCCACAATTAAATGTTTTCCTTTATAAGAGTTGCCATGGTCATAGTGTCTCTTCACAGCAATAAAAACCCTAACTAAGAAAGATGCGTACCTTGAAAATTACAAGCCTTGGGCTGCAGAGAGGGCTCAGCAGTTAAGAGCATTGGCTGCTCTTAGAGGGTCTGTGGGTTCAATTCTCAGCATCCACACGGCAGTACACGACTGTCTAACTCCAGGTATAGGTGATAGAACTCACTCTACTGGCATCCTTGGGTACCAGGCACACAACTAGTACACATATATGCATGCAAGTAAAACATCCAGTCACATAAAATAAGAAAAAATTTTTAAATATTTATTTACATATTATGTGCACAGAAGAGGGCACCAGATCTCATTACAGATGGTTGTGAGCCACCATGTGGGAATTGAACTCAGGACCTCTGGAAGAGCAGTCCGTGCTCTTAAACTCTGAGCCATCTCTCCAGCCCCAAAATAAGAAATTTTTAAAAATAATTTTTAAAAGCTACAAACCTTGGTACAGAATATGCAGACATCACCTAACAATGTAGAAGTCCTTTAAAGATTTCTTTTACAGGTAAACCAATGGTAGGCTGCTGTGGAATAATCCTTCTGTACATTGTGAATATGTATTACTCTCATTGGTTTAATAAAGAAGCTGACTGGCCAATAGCTGAACAGGATAAGGTAGGACAGTCCTTCAAAATTCCCTGCTTCACAGGAAACTCTGTCAGATATGGTAGGCCAACAGGTCAGAGGTGGATGCCCCATCATTGCAGAGGATCCTTGGGAGACTGTCCAGGCAACCAGCTGTTTCTGTCATTTCTCACATTTTCTTGAAAATCACTTGCCTGCACTTTTTGCTTATTCAGGTAATATTGTTTCCTTCTCAGGTATTTGATGGAGTTAAAGACGAGATAGTTATAGTTATAATTATAGTTTTCCTTAGTTATGATAAAAGATAAGTTAGATATAAACCTTTGGACTCACAAAGATAAGATAGGAGATAGAGTATTTTATTTAATTTTGTCAAATACAATCAGACATTATAACTGTAATTCTTACTTGATAATTGTTTTTGTTGTATATAGTTTTTCTATACTAAGGGTAAAACTTTCCTTTTTAACTAGACAAAAAGGAGGAAATGCTGTGGAATAATCCTCTTGTACACTGTAAAGATTTGTCACTCAAATTGGCTTAAGAAAATACTGATTGGCCAGTAGCCAGGCAGGAATCTTACATGGTACAACTAAACTAGGGATGATGGGAAGGAGAAGGGCAGAGTGAGGAATCACCAGCCAGACACAGAGGCACAGGAGATGAACATGCCATGCTACTAAAGGTACAAACACATGGCAGGGCATAAATGAGGAATATGGGTTCACTTAAAATGGAAGAGCTAGTTAGTAATAAGTGTGAGCTATTGGGCAAGCATTTATAATATACAATTCGCCGGGCAGTGGTGGCGCACGCCTTTAATCCCAGCACTCGGGAGGCAGAGTCAGGCGGATCTCTGTGAGTTCAAGGCCAGCCTGGGCTACCAAGTGAGTCCCAGGAAAGGCGCAAAGCTACACAGAGAAACCCTGTCTCAAAAAACCAAAAAAAAAAAAAATATATAATATACAATTCATATTAAGCCTCTGTGTGGTAATTCTGGAAGTGGTATTTGGGAACAGGTAGTCAGTACATTAAACTTCCATTTACACTAGGCTTTGATAACTTAATAGTTGAAAAATCAAATAATCATATTTTGATTACAAGCATCAAAAACAGACTTGGGGTGGTTTAAGTAGGAAAAGAACATATTGGAAGGGTTATAGATGTAAGAAAACAATTGATAAATAATTTGGAAATTTGGGACCAGCAAACTGAGAGGATCCAAGGAAGGTTGAACAAGGAGCCATGCATCTAGTCCCAGCACCCAGACAGCAAGTGATATCCATAAAGATGGGCACTCAAGAGTTACCAGGGACTCAGTGCAAATGCTGTTGAACTGACTAAATGGTAGACTGCCACTCCCTCTCCTTTACTCAGAAGCCCTGGGCTGCTCAGACCAAGGAGGTCTTCTCTCAGTAGGAAAGGAGGTTTGGATTCCCATAACTCCCCTTCCTTGCTCCCACTTAAATGAAAATGAACTCTAAAATTCATTAGAGGACTATTGTTTTTGTTTTCCTAAGGAAATGGACCCTTTCCTGGGATTATAGACATTTTTGGACTTGGAGGCGGCCTTCTGGAGTATCGGGCTAGTCTGCTGGCTGGGAAGGGTTTTGCTGTCATGGCTCTGGCTTATTATAAATACGATGACCTCCCCAAGAGCTTGAAGATCCTTCACCTGGAGTACTTTGAGGAAGCTGTGAACTACCTGCTCAGGCACCCTCAGGTTGGCTGTTATTTTTGTCTCTTGGTTTAGAAACTATGTTCCTAAAACACACCCCCACACACACCAAGGTAAGCCTATCAACCCAGTTGCTCAGACATTGTGAGACAATCCAATCTTCATTTTCAAAGTAGAAAGAAAAGCAAATTTCTCAACTGGAAGAAGTTTCAGGGCATTGATCTGGTCAGGCAGTCTGATGACTGAATACCTCAGATAAAGGGAGGTATTGTGGTTTGTCTGGAAAGGGAGCCTCCTGGGACATGGACACATTTGGCACATAGTGGAAGATGGCAGGTTGGACAGGTGTCTCAGCCTTTAAGATCACTTGCTGATCTTCCAGAGGACCATGGCTGGGTTGCCAGTACCCAGGACAAGTGGCTCATAACTGCCTGTAACTCCAGCTCCAGGGAATAGATGAGTATAGCTGTGCACACAAAGACATAGATGGAGAAACACACACACACACACACACACACACACACACACACACACACACACACACCTAATTAAAAAAATCTGGCTTGGCTGAGGGATATCACAGCTGGGCTGGGGCCCTGAGCGGCATCATTGCTTTGCTTGAGTGTGTCTCCAGCCTCTGGTTTTGTCCTGAGCACCAAGTGGCTCACACTTGTGAAGCCCTACAGGAGGACCTACCCTTAACTGACAAACATCCTTCACTGGGCAGACAGTAGAGGAGTGAGTCAGGGCTACAAGTGAGGAAGACAAAATCAGGTCCACGTGAGGTCAGAGTGGAGTGTGGGGCAAGGCGGGGACCGATGTGGAAAACAGAAAATCACATTCAGTGTGAACAAGGAAACAAAGAGGCCACTCATGAAGCCCAGCAGAAGTGAGAGCTGACAGGAGGAGCCTCATTTTGCAAGGGTTGAAAGATTCCCTGTAAGAAGCAGTAGAGTCCTTGACTGGGTGGTTCTGGTTTTGTAAACATTTCAGTGAAAGCCTAGTAGTGTTCCTACAGAGTCCCACTGCCTCACTCTACAATCATGAAACAGTGTAACTTCAGTAGCCCTGTCCCCACTCTGCAAAGTCTATCACTGGTTTTGAATTTAAACAAAAAGTCTTCAAAGTCTCATTCCCCTCAACACTCTTTTTAAAAAACAAGAAACTCTTTGTTTGAAGCATCACTTTCTTCCCCAGTACCTACACGTGCATCTTGAACTCTTGCTCATAGCCAGAATCTTACCTCACTTTACCAGGATGCTTATTGGATGATCATGAAGTCATGTGAATGTAGAGCCCACCACTGTAAATTCATCACAGATAAAAAAGAAAAGATTTTCCTGCCTTTTCCACATGGTATTGCAGAATATTCCTTTCCACTGTGTGAAGATATGCCCCTGTGATTGGTTTAATAAAACCTGAATGGCCAATAGCTAGGCAGGAAGAGGTTAGGCAGGACTTCTGGAGATAGAGAGGTCTTGGGGAGAATAAAGTTAGAATAGCCAGCCAGGCACAGAGGAAGCAGGATGGGCAGTACAGAGTAGAGGTAACCAATCCATGGAAAGGAACATAGAATAAAGCAGACAGGTTAACTTAAGTTATAAGAACTAGTTAGGAACAAGTCTAAGATAAGGCCAAGCATTCATAATTAATAAGAAGTCTGTGTGGTTATCTGAAAGCTGGCAGTGGAGGGGTGGGTGCAGAGAAAGAGTACTTACACCATGGGACATAGAGGTGAGCCTCATCTTACCACGAGGGACCTCATCTGAAGAGACTTTATCACCTTTCAAAAGCCAGGATGGTGCAGAGGGAGATTCAGGCTCAGGCCACCTTGCATCCATAGGTTGTCACCACTGTCCTACCCTCCAGATGAACTCATTCCCTTTCTTCTCTCTGTCTCTTTCTTAGGTCAAGGGACCGGGGATTGGCCTGCTGGGGACTTCCAAAGGGGCTGAACTCTGCCTCTCCATGGCCTCTTTCCTGAAAGGAATCACAGCTGCTGTCATAATCAATGGCTCTATGGCCAATGTTGCTGGAACATTATACTATAAGGATGAGACCCTGCCCCCTTTGGGCAGTAATCTAAATCGAATCAGGGTGACCAAAGATGGCCTTAAAGATACTTTGGATGTTCTGAATTGCCCTTTAGAAGGACCTGACCAGAAGAGCATCATCCCTGTGGAAAGGTCAGACACGGCCTTCCTGTTGATTGTAGGTCAGGATGACCAAAACTGGAAGAGTGAGTTCTATGCCAATGAGATCTCCAAACGCTTACAGGTCCATGGGAAGGAGAAGCCCCAGATCATCTGCTACCCAAAAGCAGGGCACTATATTGAGCCCCCTTACTTCCCACTGTGCAAGGTGGGCATGCACGCCTCCTATAGCATGCCTGTCATCTTTGGAGGGGAGCCCAGGGCTCAAGCCATGGCCCAGGTGGATGCATGGCAGAAACTCCAGACTTTCCTCCACAAACATTTGGGTGGTAAAGAGGCGACAATCCCAGCAAAACTGTGATTTTTTTTTTTTGAGTAGTGACATTTCTGATCCCTCCTGAGAAGGGCTGCCACTGTTAGGTTGTGTATGCATTTTTTTCCCCTTTAATAAAGTCTTGAAGCTATCCCCACAAAGGTTTTATAGACTGTCTTCCTTATTGGTTGGAGGACAGAGTGAGCGGTTCCTACTTTCTTACGGTGCGGAGGATGGAACCCAGGGCTTTTGCATGGTAGGCTAGCACTCTGCCACTGGGCTGTCCCACTCTACCTTAGAGGGCAGCGATTTGAAAGAAACTTGAGAGGTTGAGAAGCATGTTTGCTCCCTGGTACAGCATGCAGCAGGCAACTTCAGTTCCAGGATGAGAAGTGAGGAACATGGACCAGCACTGCCTGCGATATAATGCAGTCAATAACTATTTGCTAAAGGATGGTTAATAAACACATCTTTGTCTACAAGAAAGCATATGCTGTAGCCCCTTGTGTTTGTGGGTTCCACACTGCCGAGTCTACCATCTGTGGATTGAACTCATATGAAAACAGCACTGTGTCTATACTGAACGTACAGGGGCCTTTTAGGGCCATTAATCCTTAAACTTGTTGTAACTGAAAAGGAACTATTTGTACAGTGTTTGTGTTCCACTTAGGGACATAAATATGGTGGATGTGATCTTAACATTTTAAAGATTTTCAGATTACATGCCAATTCCACCCCACTATATATCAAGTACATGAATCACTGCAGTTTTGGAGTCCAGGTACCAATCCCCCATGAATGCCAACTAAACAACTGTACTATCAAAATCATTATAATATCTGATTTGAGTTTCTCTTCTTAGAATGGAAGTCATAACACTTTAGTTACAAATAATTTACTAGTTAAATATAAAACTGATGAAATACTTAAAGCTGATAAACATCTACTTTTGTGATATCTTTTCAAATGAATAAGGAGTCTTCTAGCAAAGAAACTATTTGTGTTCCTGTTAATACTATAGTCACACAGCTTTAGTGTTTCAACAGTTAATTAAATATTTAGATTGGGAGTATGTGATTTTTAACAATGATAATTATAAAATATGTAAAAATGAGACAACCTATTATAAATAGCTCAATAAACCTACATGTGTCTTAAGCCCTTAACTGTATATAAAATAAAGTGCCTTAATTTATTATGTTCTGATTCCTTAATTTTACTTATTTATTTTATTTTGATTTTTTGAGATAGGGTTTCTCTGTATGGCAGCCGTGGCTGTCCTAGAACTCACTCTGTGGATGAGGCTGGCCTTGAACTCATAGAGATCGGCTTGTCTCTACCTCCTGAATGCTAGGATTAAAGGTTTGAGCCACCACTGCCCTGCTCTTAATTTTTTTTTTAAAAGGCAATCGAATCCTGATATATAATTTCCTTTTGACTCTCAAAAACATTGGATGTTTGTTTTAGCTAGAAGTTCTCCTGTGTCCTACCCAGTCCTGCAGCCACTCAGAACCAAGTAAACACATAGAGGCTTATATCAATTACAAATTGCATGGCCATGGCCTATGGCTCCGTTTTCTTGCTAGCTGGATCTTATAACTAAACTCGGCCCATTTCTATTAATCTATATGTCATCACGTGTTCTGTGGCTTTACCTGTGTGCCATTACGTGCTGCTCCTTGGATGGTGGGATGGCGTCTCTTCCGCCTCTGCTTTCTTCTTGTCTCTTTCCTAGATTTCACGCCTGCATCTAAGCTGCGTTTCCATAGGCCAAACAGCTTTATTTATCAACCAATCAGAGCAACACATACTCATAGCACACAGAGAGACATCCCACAGCAGTTTGTTACAGTTTCAACAGGAGTATCCTCCATGGTTACTTTGTTAAAGATTTGGTTGCCAGCGAACTGGCTTTTGGGGATGATCATATCTTTGACACTCTGACTTAATCAATGAATTGATCCTTTGTTGGATTACTGATGCAATGACATCACTGGGAAGAGGGACCCCACTGGAGGAAGTGTGTCACTGGAGGCACTCCATGAAAGGACGCAGCTTGTCCTGGCCCCTTGGTCCACTCTCTGCTTCCCTAGCATGAAAGCTTTGTTCCTGCACACCCTCCCTCACGATGCGCTTGCTCACAGGCCAAGAACCCATGAAGCCAGAGATTACACCAACACCTCTGAAATCAGGCCAAAATTAATTTGCCCTCCTTTTAATTTGTTTCTCTAAGGTTTTTGTCACTGAAATAAAAAGTGTCCCCTCTGTTCATCACCAACCATGTGCTTCTCACTGAGTACTGGGCAGTCTGTAGGGCTAATATGCTCTTCATTCTACAGGTAAGGAAGTGCATCATGCAGAAGTTTCTAACACAGTCAGTGTGGAGGTGTGCTCAGTGCCCGCCAGTCTCCCCTCTCTGTATGATGCTCCATTCCTTAAATCTGTCGTTCCTCATTGTATGTGGTCACAGAGCCGTTTGTCCATCCACTTCTGCCACAGATCACAAAGCCCAATAGAATGCACATCTGTGTGAAGTCACCCACGCCATGCTGTGAATTGCCTAAAGCCTGTTCAGATGCTCCACACAACAGTAACCAAAGTCCCGGGGAAGAGAGGACTGACTCTTCTTTCGCTCCAGCAAACTTGTTACAGAATTTCTGGAATTGTGGCAAGTTACAGGAGGAGCATGCTAAAAGACACTGTGTGTAAAGATGTGTGTAAAAGCTATCTAAAAGAGTGGTTCAGGAAACATGCTTAAGCCCTGGATCTTGCCAGGCATGGTGGCACATGTCTATAATCCCAGAATTCAGGAAGATGAGGCAGGAGGATCGCTGGGGAGAAATACACGGATGACAACCTGTCGCTAACTGCACACAACCTTTGTTAGTAGTGTGTGTGTGTGTGTGTGTGTGTGTGTGTGTGTGTGTGTGTGTGTGTGCGTGTATTCCCTTTGCTCTATTTTCCTTTTAAATTAGAAGTTCCAAAATAGGCAGAAAAGAGAAAGAGAAAAGGAGGAAAGTGTAGGCCTTGGAAAAGTATAATAAACATGCTCAGTTGAAGAACAGAAATAAAGCTTTCAGTTTTTGGACGTTGGAGCAAAGTTGTTTCCCTCTATCCTGAATGCTCAGTAACCTAAAGTTAAGCCCAACATTGACATGCCTGAGTCCCATGCATTTACATAAGGCAGATACAGTTGCCTCCATGCCAAGAATACAGCCTTGTAGGTCGGAAAGAAGAGAAAGAGACACCTGAACCCTTGCAACTTGTTACTCAGGGGGTCCAATGGGGCAGATACAAGAACTGAACATTTAAACCATGCTGCATTCACAGAGCTGACAATCTGAGAGAACAATGGATGGGCATCCTAAACTATCTTCCACCTCATCTGCATGCTGTGGATATCACTCTGTATAAATAAAATGCTGATTGGCCAGTAGCCAGGCAGGAAGTATAGGCAGGACAAGCAGAGAAGAGAATTGTGGGAACAGGAAGGCTGAGCGAGGAGATAATGCCAGCCACTGCCATGAGTACCAACATGTAAGACACTGGTAAGCCATGAGCCATGTGGCAAGGTATAGATTTATAGAAAAGGGTTCATTTAAGATGTAAGAACTAGATAACAAGAAGCCTGCTGCGGCCATACAGTTTATAAGTAATATAAGTCTCTGTGTGTTTACTTGGTTGGGTCTAAGAGGCTGCGGGACTGGCGGGTGAGAGAGATTTGTCCTGACCGTGGGCCAGGCAGGAAAACTCTATCTACATCTGCAACCATCAGATCATATAGGGATGGGGAACAGAAGCAGTGGATCACAAAAATTCAGTCTTGCCCTCTGGCCAGAGGATCGACTCTTCTCTCAGACTCTACTTTTCTCTCCATACCTTTGCTCTGTGCAGCAGGGGAAGGGCTTGTATCCACCAAAGTCACTGAGTCCTGCCTTCCCCAAGTCAATGTGGGTGATTAGATTCAAGGCTAACTCAGAGGCAACAAGCCATCAGAAGTTTGTGCGTGATATGATGCAGTGTGGGTGAGCGGATCCTCCCCATGAATGAAATGCAGACATCTCTTGAAATAGAGAACATGATGTGTATTTCCAAATCCCATGCAAAGCAACAACTGGAAATTTAGTCTTTGTTTATAGGTATAAAGACTATAAGACTATTAGGAAAACCAACACGGGAATCTGAAAAGACACAGTGAGCAGACAGAACCACAGACGGAACAGTTATCACATATCCAGCGACCAAAGACAGCTTAGAAAAATGTCCTCACTAGCATGCTCAGACTTGATATCTGAGAGTACTGTATCCCAAGTTAGAAAAAAGAAATATATAACCTTAGAACTTTTTCTAAAGATCACCATGTAGAAAATATATTACAAAATCAAGGCATGGGCTACAATGTAGAAAATACATTTAAAAACTCAGGGCAAGGACCATTACAAGGCACACCCTGATCTACATGTATTCTGGAGTAGCTGCAGGTGAACAAGCCCTGAGACACTGAGGGTTCACTCAATTCTAAGAATTTAGGATGAATGGAAACATGAAAAGGAAATAGAAAACCACCAGAGCTGCTAGTGATTTGCACTCAGGAGGCATGTGGTGTGTTTCAACAAGCCTGGTTCTGATGTGCCAGAACTGAAGCCAAAAGTGGTGTATTTTAAAAATGGCAAGAAGGAGTCACACCATACAACAGGGCCCACATGGGACATTTATTGAGGGGAGGGGAGAGAAGGAGGCAGAGGATAAACCCTAGGGACAAGAGCAAAGGAAGAGAAAGAGATATACAATAGGTAGGCAAGGCCTGTCTTTTAGTGCCTGAAGCTGAGGGTATAGTCTGTCAGGACCCTAAGGGCAGGCCAGTACAGATGCCTAAATGCTAACAAAAAGTGGTAGGTACCAGGAGACCCAAGATAGAAACAGAGGGTTCCAGGATTAAACAGGATATAATTTACTGGAACTTAACAGACAGAAATGTGTCTTGAGCAGCAACCTGACAGGGAGACTTTTGCATCCAATCACAGGATAAAGGTTCATGGCTTACATTTGGTAAAGGTGGGCCATGAGAACTGGAATGTACCTAGTCTTCTCTAACTTAATGTCAGTTAAAAACAATCTGGGTGGCTCTGATGCAGACCCCAGCAGCCAGCCAGCAAGTGAGAGACCTGTGGGCAGGTGGCACCACCATCATTGTTACCCAATGGACTGGGTTCCCATAAGACATACTCTGCCACCCACCCCCACCTACCCCAGCATCCTCCCCACATGCACCCCTCTCCTCCAACATCAGCAAACCCTCCAGACACAAGAGCCACCCACACCAGCTGGAAGAACAGGTGAGTGAATGGTCTCCCAGCTAAACTGCCCCAATCTCTAGGCCCTAAGCCCCAGGGTATATCCTGTGCCCCTCCCCATCCCACCTCAGCCCTAGCAAAGCAGCTGGGACCAGCCCCCAGCTCTGGTGGAATCCCACTGCTCTGGTGCAGACCCAGCAACAGGCCAGCAGGTGAGATCCTGCAGGCAGGCTGCACCACACCACTGCCACCCACTGGACTCTGTTCCCACAAGAACCACTCTGCTGCACAACCACACCTACCCCAGCATCCTCCCTGAGCACAGCACTCTATGGCAACATCAGCAACTTACAGGCACAAATGCCACCCATACCAACTGGAAGTACAGCAGCCCCTATAGGCACAAGCACCACCTATACCAGTTGGAAGAGGAGATGGTAAGCACCAGTCTAAGAATATATACAACAACATAAAGGGCAATATGCCACCACCAGAACCCAGTGGTCCTACAACAGCAAGACCTGAACATCTCAACGCAGATGAAGCAGAAAAAAAAATGACCTTAAAAATAACTTGATGAGATGATAGAGGCCCTTACAGATGAAATGAAAAATTCCCATAAAGAAATTGAGGAAAAGAAAAAACAAAAAATTGGAAGAAATCAATAAATTCCTTAAAGAAATCAAGAAAAATATCAAACAGGTAAAGGAAATAGTTCAAGACTTGAAAATTGAAATAGAGGTAATAAAGAAAACAAAAAATGACAGAATTCTGGAAATGGAAAACCTGAGATGTGAACAGGAACTACAGATTCATACATAACCAACAGAATATGAGAGACGGAAGACAGAATCTCCAGCATTGAAGATACGATAGAGGAAATAGATTCATCGACCAAAGAAAA